ATCTCTTGGTCCCTGGGGTCTTTGAAGTTACCTGTGACCCCCACTGCTCACCAAGGACATTCTGCCTCTCTCTGCTCCTTTCATGTCCCTTATCTGCCTCCTCCTTCACTCCAGACACACTGCCTGGCTCTGCTCTACTTTCCCCACTGTGCAGATTGTCCTGCTAACACCTGTGTCCAGGCCCACCCTCTCAGGCAATAGGAAAGGACACAAAAATATGTGGGAGCAGCAGCCCCAGCTCCATCATGAGCCAGTTTCCCAGGCCCCCAGGAGAAAGAGCATCTGCTGGGCCCCCATCCAGAGCTCCTTCCTCCCCTGAGGCCAACAAGAGGAACAGGCCACATGACAGAGACATATAAACCATTAACCTAATCTCTACATGACTCAACCAGGGAGTCAAAAGGCAGAAGGACAGGTCTCAGTCCCCAAAGCTCATGGGCTCACTTCACCACTGACTGGTGACTCACACACCCTTGTCCTGGTGTGAGGCTCCCATTCCTCCCACTGGCTCCGGAGACGTTTCCAAGGTGGGCCTGGTGACCCTGCACCATCTGACTGGTTCACTGCTTGTTTCCACATGTGTGTCCTTGACCACAGGGTGGGATCCTCTCAGACTGTGAGATCCACCAACCACTCTCCTTTCTCTCAGATGCTGCCCAATTTGAATAAATACGACTAAACTCCAGTTGTTTCCTGAGTTAGAAAGAAAAGGAAGAACATATGCCACATGCCCATGTGTGGGCTCCTCCCCATCTGCCTGACTGTCCCTAGAAGGACCTTCTGCCTAACATGGCACATGTCCTTTCTACAAATATGGAGTCATCCCTCTCTTTATACAGCAGAGACACCTGGACATGCCTCCCGGTCATTTCTGTACTCTTAGCAGGACTCACTTTCTCTCTATCCTAGGGAGTCCCTCATTTTAAACCCACTGTGACATTTCCCTTTGGTCACAGTGTGACCTGGTTGGACAACTTGGTCTTCTTCATGCTCTCTAGACAGAGATTCCTCCAAAAACAGTTCTTAGAACTTTGGGGCATGAGTGATTTTCACATATTCTTTCACAGTTTAGATCAAAGACCTGGTCCCCTCCTCATGACCATGACACTGAGAAAACCATGCAGAGCTTGGTGGGGGCCTGTCCTGAGGGGACCCTGGAATCCTCACAGAGAAACCCAGCCTGGGAACCCCTCCCACACCCCTGTCCCTGGGCTCCTGACTCCAGGGAACCTGGGGAGCCTGTGTCAGGTTGAGTTTGACCTCCTGGAAGGGCTGGGTGGGAGCAGTGGCTCTACTCTGGCTCACCAGCCAGGGCTCAACCCCAAGAGCCACATCAGGACAGGGACAGAGCTTACTCCTTCAATTAAGGCTGTGTCAGGAGAGCACCGATAGACAAAATACCCTGTATCATTAGCTCACTCTTCTGAGGGACTTAGGAGACTCCGGAGGGAGGTCAGGTCTCCAGGAAGGAACAGAGGAGAGAAGATGCTCCTGACAGTTCCTTGTCCACCAGGACTCAGCCCAGGCAT